AATGTAAAATTCGTTTGTCCGTGTAATATATGTAGACTTCAGTTGTTCTGTCAAACGTTCCCAGATATGTACAAAATATGTACTTCCAGAGTAAAATGTAAACATTTCATGAGCATCCTCTTCATTTATATATACTTAGTAACGTAGAATTTCAAGAAGAGGAGAAATTTTGAAAGGTGCCCCGAGTCCTATCACTTTTGAGTCCAGAGGCGACAACATTTGCAACCAATTAAAAAAAAATATACAAAAATAATGAACTGAATTAAATACAAATAACAACAGAATGCAACTGAAGTGAATTGTACGTGCCGCATTAAATGCGACGGAATAAACAGCACGAGCAACCGCAGTCATTAATGTGTACACACAAACACGAGTACATACTTAGTACATAATAAAAGCAAACCACTTGCAGGGAGCAAGAAATTGACAATTGTCACGCCGTTGAAGCACCGCAACTGTTGACGGCCATTTTAAAGAGGTTTTTATAATTTATTTTATTTTTATTTTTTATGAATACTTGTTTAATAAGTAAGCATTGTTTGTGTTTTCGCTTTTGTTCAGGTTCTTTGTGTAAACTGATATTGCAAGCAAAATGCAAACTGAAGCCTGCACATACTATACGTATGTATGTATAAGGACGACTGACAACGAAACCAGTAACAACAAGAACTGAAAAACGTGGTTAAAATGACGGTATCTACAGCGCGGTCGCCTTTTGAATCACATCACTCTGACCGTTGTTTCAACAGCCTTAAATTGCACCAGACAGCGGAGACTGAATACGTTGAATTATTTATTTAAATTTTTGGACATGTTACTGGTCTTTCTACTACGATTTGTTTGTTATAGTAGTGGGGCCCAGTATGCTAAATCGGGATTTACTCGAGCGTCATTTTGACCTATTGGATTTTGAAGATTAGATGATAAAAAGCGAAAAATGTCATGGGATGTTTTTCCTTTCAGCGATGGGTGGATGATATGTAACAAAAGCAGTTAGGTATACGGATTCACTCGAGTGCCTCAGTTATTGATAGTGAGTGAAGCTCCCATTCAATAATCGGACGATTCTGACGTGACGCAAGCTCGTGGCGTCTTCTTGAAAATGCACAATATAGTTATTTGGATTTCTTCGAGCGCGTCAGATTTTCATGCATAAGGTTCATCTTGATGCCCTGGTCGTGCTGTTCCATAATGCGACGGTTTTCTGACGGGGTTTTCTTAACCCTTCTGCAATGGTTGGATCAAAATTACCCAATTTTCATGAAAATGTTATTTAATTACAGAGTTAGGTAATTTTAAATAACCTGCGGCGTTGTCTATTTGTTAAAAGCATAATCAGCTATGGTTTTCCAAACAATAAAAGAGCTTATATGCACAGTTTCCATATGCACATTTTCAGGGTGCCGCAGAAGGGTTAATCTGATTGGTTTAAAAAATTATTTCGTTACTGAGATGCACAGTCGACCAAACTTATATTATTAAGGTATGAGTTTAAATTATTTTATTCCTGATTTTCATCCGTGGAACTATCATCATATAGCAAGTCCGGTTCGACTTGGACTCCAATTTCTTATACATCTTGGCCACCTGCAATTATAGAATTTAAAAGTTCCCCTAGGAAATCCTGTGTTATGACTACATCTTCTTACGCTTCTGGTAATTGATCACCAACAAACCAGGTCATTTACAATTTTCCATTTGTGTAAAATTTTGAAGGTTATATTACATTAAACACCACAAGTGCTTTGATCATCCAAGATTGCGTTATGGCTGACAGAGAGGAGTAAGGGAACACACAGTGCTTTGATACTATAAATGAGCGGAACGGAAATCAAGTGTGAAGCTGCGCTTGATTGTAGTTGGCTCACATGAAAAAAGTGAAAAAAGCAACAACAGATTATAAGGCGAACTTAGCACAGTGCGTAGGCAACTGAATGAGGCAGCTGGGGTTGTCGGATCGAATCCCACTGAAGAAGTCTGATCAGAGATGTGGTGATCTCCGAAATAGCTATGACTTCTACCATTTTTATAATTTATTGTTCTTTTCCACAACTGTATTTCATTAAAACGGAAACAAGGTCAACAAAATTGTTGAATATGAAGAAGTATAATAATAGTTTTTTTGGCGCATACACTTTTAAGTTGAGTGTTTGACCGAGCTTCTCCTCCAATTTGTGGTATTTGTCTTCATGTTGTTAGACTAATTGAGGGACCTAAAATTTTTTCCGAATGGAAAAGAGATTTTATGAGAAACTTTTTTATGACAGCAATACACATAGAAGTTTGCTATTACCTTTCGATGGTCGATCGCTGTTAGAAAAACCTTTCTTGGAATCCAAGGTAGGTGCTACGGAGTGGTAGTACATACGCACCTCTAACCATTCAGCCATAGGGTTCGAAAAAGTACACGACTTCTTTTATTGGGGAACCAGTACTAACAGCAATAATAATATGTCAGCCTTGAAATCTAATGATGAATAACTCCTGCCAACAAGTGCTTCTTTAGACTGAATAGGTAGTGGATATGTAAAGTCCTCTCTCACACTCTATAAGTCACTTATCATGCCCATGCTGGTGTATGCCGCGGAGGCATAGACAATGAAAATATCTGATGAGGATGCTGTTGGAGTTTTCGAGAGAATGAATCTGCGGAAGTTTTACGGGCCTTTGCGCGTTGGCGATGTCGAATATTACAGACGATGGAACTATAAGCTGTATGAGCCTTACAATGATATATACACAGTTCGGCGAAATTAAATGCAGCGGTTACGCTAGCTTGGTCATGTCGTACGAATGGTCAGCAACGCCTCAGCTCTGAAAGTGTGCTGGTAACAGATGAAGAGGAAGTCCTCCTTAGCGATGAAAAGACCAAGTGGAGAAGGGCTTGGTTTCATTTGGTCATTCCAGTAGCCGTTAGTTGGCACAGAAGGGAAACGACGGGAGAGTTTTATTAAGTTTACGACAAAAGTTATGCATTGGACTTTCGGCCAATTTAACCCAGTTCAGGTCGAAACCGGAAGTCCGCAATACGATCCTCGACTTGGTAATTCATATTTTTTTCGTTTTCTATTAGAAAAATTTCACTCGTTGAGAAGTCTGGGATTAGTTGAACTTCGAAGGTCATTTAAAGGTAGAAAAAAAACTCCTAAGAATAACGTTTTAAACAAAATTTTCCTATTTTTATCTTATGAATCCGAATAAGTAGTAAAGCCATATTTGTCTAATTAAAAAAATGTATTTCCGGTCAGTTTAACCCAATTCCGGTCGAAACCGCAGGTCAGCAATACAACTAAAAGGTAAAGAATCTCCGATAATAAACACATTTCCTTCCAATTCAGAGATGGTGGACGGGTGGTTTAGGACACCCTGTATACATATATCGTGGTTTAAAGTACAAATCCGCATATCAAGATAATGCAAAACCCTGTATGTAAGGTTTCCCAAATTTTACTGGAGAGAGTAAAATGTTTCTTATTTCAAAACGGTTCGCTCTGGTAGCATTAATTAGCTCTTCTTCTTACTTACTTACAGGTTTTCCAGAACATGTATGTACATATTAATATATCTAGATTTTTTTTTGTTTGAAATAAGAAAAATTCATTTGTGCTACTGTCCATTGGCAAAGCCTTTGCAGGAGCAATCAACACAACAAATAAGTAAGTAGTAAAAATGTAAGTGCAGAAGTAACAATAAAGAACGTTGGTACTAGTATTACCATGGAAAATTATTGCTAGAGGCAATAGATGTACACACTTTAAAACAACAAATATAATTAATTACAAAATCCAGATTCAGCAAACAAACTGCCTATGAAATTTTGTTTGATTTTTATTGTAGCGTGAAATTATTTTGTTGCGACGTGTTGGCGCGTAATTCTTTTTTATTGACGTTATTATTTGTGATTGTCACGCTTCTGTTCACACTCCAAGTGCTCAGTGGGACTTTCTCTTTAGCATTGTTTCTGGCAATTCTTTCTTATTCCGTATTTCACCCACATTCGCACACAAACACACTCAAATACTATACATATGTACAAGTTCATTAGACTGGGTCACGAAAATAAAATTGCAGTTACCCCCTATTTTGAAAGCTTACTTTGAGAGAATTTTCGTCCTTTGCTTGTCCTGAAAATAGCTAAAATCGAGTTTTCTTCATAACTCCTTTATTTATTACTATTAATTTCGCATACTCTATATCTTTCTCAAATCTTTTTACCCTAGAATACCTCCTTAACATACTCAGTTCAACTAACTCAATTTCTACCCCGTTGAATACAAACATACAATGAGAAAAATTAAACAATTTAGTTAGCGATGGATTTTTTTTCATTGAAAGCGTAAAAATAAATTGATAAACAGGAAGGTTACAGTAGCCTGAAATTTCTCTTGCAATCGAAGTAAGTGTTGATGTTCATAGATAACTCATACGCCATGGCAAGCGAACACGTAGACTGGCAGGTATCAATATCAACATTTAGTCCGGTGGAAATAAAATTTCATGTCACTGTAACCTTTCTGTTAATTAATTTATTTTTACGCTACCAAGGGAAAAAAGCAACGCCTACTAAAATTTTTAATTTTGTAAGGGTTAAAGTTGTACTTAATAGGGTAGACATTTTGTTATTCGAAGGTAAAGGATTCTAGGGTAAAAGGATCTGAGAAAATTATATTTTCAATCAATTATACCACTTTGGAATCTATTAGTAGTTAAATGAAAAAACTCCATTTTGGCGGCTTTCATGACTCGCCAAGGACCAACATTTTTATGACCCTAAAATCCCCTTAAAATCAGCTATCAAACTAGCGAAGGTAATTAAAAATTGTTTCTACCATATGTTTCTACTATAAATTACATACATATATGTATATGTACATATGTATATGTGTGTACAAATAAATATATGTATATCCATTACAAATGAAGTTTTTATGCCATCGCCTATTAATTTGGTTTATTTCTTGTCTTTTTACTGCTTTTATACACCCGCCGAAACAGTACGACCGTTGATTGTGAAATTGCAAGGAGAAAATCGGCCTTTGTCGGCCGATAATCCATATCCACTAAAGTGCATGGTAATCGGTTCACGTCCGGCACCAACGATAACCTGGTGGAAAGGCAGCACATTGATGAAGGATACGCGCGAAGAGGCAAGTAGAAACCAAAGTCGATTACTTTTTTTATGTTCATATGAAAATTTTTTCGGCAAATTTATCCTGTCATAAAAAACCATGTAACTTGTTTTTGTGAAGTAGAGGAAATTAAGGTTTTTTGTAAATAATTTCTGTTTTTTATATATTTTTTGGTCGTTGTCGTATTTCAATTTTACTTTGTGGCTTCTAGAAACAAGAAAAAAGGATAGAAGTGCCTAAAAGGTTATTTTTTCAAGAACTCAAAGATAGACTTAATATCTGTAAGTATTTCTTTAATGCGTTCACCCGAATTTCGGGTGGTTACTACTAGTACTTTTAATTATTATACTCGTCTTAAAGATAAGAAAAAAGTTCCGTAAACTACAAGTTTATTCTGCGCTGGTAACAAAATGTGTGGTAATAATTAGTATTGCCCTTTAAGCATTATTATTTATTTCGGTCAACGGAAACAATTATTATTATTATTATTTTTTTTCGATCCAGTATAAATAGTGATTATTATACGTAATATTCTTATTTTTTTCGCCCAAAGGCAATAAAAAATATTTAGATTTACTTTTCTACGTAAAAATTATGACTATTTTTTAGATTTAAATAACTTTATAGACTGAGAAGGATACGTCGGAAATCACGCTAGCTGCTAATTTTTTTTTTTTTTTTTTTTGTTGGTTGAACTCTAAAAATAAAAATCTGTGTATATTGCAGTTGGAGGTGGACATATTTAAAGTTGTTTTACGATGCTTACAACATGCTGTTTTTTTTTGGTTAAAATCAAAAAATAATTGATTTAAACAGTAATACGACACTGCAGTCAAAAATTATCAATTGTTAAAGAAAACCAACGTAAGTTAGCTTTTTGACGGGATTTTGATAAATACTTCACTCTAAACTAGCTATAACAAAAGCAACTTAAAGTGAGTTGCAAAGTCGTGTAGGAGTCATGCAGACGGAATTAGGAGTTTGTTTTCTTTGCAAGTTTCTATTTAAAAATCCTCATACAAATATTACTTTGAACACATTTTTTTTGCACGTCCTCCTAACCCACGACTTGGCTTTGTGGACCAAAATCACAATATCGGTGGAATTATAGATTCTAGTCTGATATTACCTCTTATATTTCTTAACCAGTTCCAGAATCTCCAAGTAAGGAGCAAATATTCCTGAAAATAAAACCCTGTACGCCTACCACTTAATTCAGTATGCAATCTGGTGCATTAAACACGCAGAGTACATTTAACATTTTTTTAAATTTTATTATTCCACAGTAACCAAAGATCAGTAGTACGTAAATTCTTATTTATTCAACTGTTTGTGATGCATATCAAAATTTTCTTTTTCTACTTATTCTTTTTGCAATACTTAAGGCGCATTTTTTGTATGTATGTGTGAGCATCCGCATTCTATTGAAATTCAGATTCGAATTCTCTCCGACTTCATTAAAATGCTAACCGCAACAGACACGCATTTTTCACACCCACACCCACACTTGCATTTATTGGCTATGAAGTAGTTTTATAAATCAAAGATATACGATTTCCACTCTGGTGAGGTTTCTTCTTGTTTAAAAACATTCCGAGTTATTTTTTCATATGAATAAAACTCAAATGCAGACGCACGTTTGGGACTTGCTAACTTACACATGAAAATATACCATTACTAATACATACATACAAAATGCCCTTATTTCCAAGAAAGAAAAAAAAACCCCATGGATTGGGAGTAAAATAATTTTGAATTCTGAATACGAGAAAAATCTCTTATTTTGTAAAAATCATGAAAACAGCTAACAAGATTCGAATCGAAAGTGTCATATTTTTCTTGCATCGATTTCACATGTTGGTAGTGGCAGCTGAGCCAAGAGCGCGGCAGGCATTTGCATATTTTAATATGTTTTTCCAATTTGGTACACTGATGTGCAAATGTTTGCAACCAATATTGGAGGATTCGTGTACATGTTTCCACGTCCGTCGGTTTATCTGATAGCTGAATTTTCGCTATCGGTTGACTGGCTGCGCTGCACTACTCAGCTTAACCCCCTTACAAATGCATGCCTGTAGCTACTGCTGCTACTTCCAAGACGTTTGTTGTTCTTGTCAACAAAATTTGCGTTGCATATTTGAGATATAATTTTTGGTAAAATATCGTTTTGCTGGTAGTAGCGCGGAAAGGGGAAAGCAGTTTCGGTTGCAAAAACGGCGCGAGTGCTGCTCGTGTGGCTCGCCCATTTTTTGTGACTGACCCCTTGCCGATTGCAGTAAAGCTCTACTTAGCAGCGCCCTTCCCACTCTCTCCTGCCTTAGCGGTTTCTTTGTTTTCGGCGAAATTTCCCTTGTCGCCGTAACCATACTGACATTTATTGTGCTTTTTTCGCGTCGCATTGCACACTTAGATTTGACTCCCTTGGTTTTTATGCACTCCAGTGTCACCGCCCCCTTCCTCCGCTGTCCTCTTACTAGCTTTACTTTACTAGCAATCTGCTTTTACAGCAACTATTTTACACACGTTTCATTTGTATCCTTTATCCAGTAACATTTCCGTTTTCCTATCGCTGAGCCATTTGCCTTTATTTGAATTTTATTTTATTGTAATTTTTCGACATCATCATAATAAAACTGCTCTCTAAATGTGGTTCTTTTCATTTGGTATTTTCTTTGTTGTTGCAGTCAAGTCCTGATGGTAATATGACAATGTCAACATTGACTTTTACGCCAACAATTGAGGATCGTGGCAAATTCCTGTCGTGTCGCGCCGAGCAGAGTATGATACCGGAATCGGGCATGGAGGACGGTTGGAAACTGGATATTTACCGTAAGTTTATTATTGATTGCCCAGCTGCAAATGCAAATGTAGGAACTAGTGAGACAGGCAGTGTTCAGCTGTAACTCGAAACTCGGAACAGTAATTTGAATTTGCAACTAAAGCAGAATATTGCTATCACAGCAAAAATGGTGAAGTTTTTATTTGTTAGCATCACAAACACACACATGACTGTGTACATGTAAAAGCACAATGAAAGTGTTGCTTTCAGTTGTGATTGCAGCTGCGTTTATTGCAGTTGGGAAAGGGGGAGCGGGGGTTTATAACTGCAATTCGTAGTCTGCTCGCGTCTTACTTACCAACAGTTGGTAGAATTTTACTCATTCAAAAGCAGTGCATAATGAAATGAGAAAATTGCTACACGCGTATGGATGTGAGGCACCGTTTCGCAATACATACATTCCACGCACCACATATATGTACATTTTACATGCAGCGTTGTATGCACATAACATGTACATCTGAAATAACCTTCGCTTTATCATGTCAAAGAGGCATTAACACCAGAGGAAATACCATGGACAAAAGAATCATCGTATTTGCGAAAATAAAGCTCCAAATTATTTTCGAATTTGAGTGTCGTTTTTTCTGAATTCTGAATCAAGTAGTGTAGAAATACAAACAACTTTTTAATAAGCCCGCGTGCAATCTTAGGTTTTTGGGCGCGGCTCCTTGAATGTGAATATTCGCAAAAACCTGTGTATGACTTCGTAGTCGTTGCCATTGATTTTAACAAGTAAATCAATCCAATACAATAAGATCCATACCGCTTTTATAATAAATGTGAAATAAATTTAATATACAGATATACTTACGTCTTCATATTTAGGTTTAATAATCAGTGTTGCGCAAAAACCAAGGGCCAGATTTTCAGTGCCACTTTAAACTTACTTTAAGTAAACTGCGTTTAAACTGAATAGCATTCTGACATTTTATTGACTAATCTTTATTTAAGCCAGCCAGGTCAAGCAATTAAACTTAGTTTAACCACGGCCGTCCACCGAAAAACTGTGATAAAATTAATGTAAAGTGAAAAAACACTTGTTTGTCCTTTAAGATTCAGAATTCAGGAAATAGTTTACAACAAAAATACAATGCTCATTTTGACATTACAGGGTTGCAAATGCGTTAAATAATTCAATGTTCAGAACAATATTACACAGCTGCAAAAGTTAGAAGGAAAGATAAATGCTGTGCAATAATATTGAGCATCCTTCGGCAGCAAAACGAAGTTTTTAAGGTTCCTCATGTCAGCAAGAACCAAGCTGGCTAAGTTACAAAACATCGGCAATAGTTTCAGTTTTATCACTGATTTTCAACAAACAAATTTTAGAAGTCAGCCGCTTCACAAGGTTGCCATTACAAAAAAGCGTAACGACCCTTACTAGACCATCTGCACCGGGACGTACTAACTCATGCACTCTCGCCAGCGGCTAGTATCCAGGAGCGCTACGTTCATGTTGCAGGGTATACAAGTATTCGTTAGCCCATCGATGTTAGAAATGTTGCTTTAGGCGCTGAAATAGTTTTCAGTGGGTCAGGTAATCGATATTAGAGTCAAGCAGGCTCTCCTCTGAGACGCAAGTTGAAGGGTTCACCTATTAGAAAGTGTACGGTTGTCATCGCTTGACGACCAGTGGGATGTGCTTACAATGGGAAGAGGGAGCAAGAATTCAAGAAACTTTCAGTTTGTGCAAGAAGCATGTTGAGTTCTTCAAAAGTACTTCAAGGCGTATAGCCTTCGTTCACATACAGATCAAGAGGCAGAAATAGCCTTTTATCGTTGCCGTTTTGCGAAGTAGTGAAAGTTTTAGTGTTATGGGATCAGCGTAGTCGAGTGCGCTGTGCTGAAATGGTTTTGTTGGTTGAAGACGGAATGCGGGGAAATTTTCCATTTGCTGCTGATAGACCTTCGCTGTGTATTTGAAACAAATGACGCATTTACGGAGCACGGAGTTTGCTTAGCTGCGCGCTGATAGAATCCAGTAACGTTGAGAGACAACTGATGTCATCTGCTGAACTCCGCCGTGTAGAGTTTAGTTTAGGGTGTCTGCATGGGCGTAGCCAGGTAGGGGCAGGGGGGTGCTCGAGCCCCCCCCTAACTTTCAAATTTTCCTTATATATATATAAAATAGTTCCCTGAAATGCCAGCTTAATAGGGTCGAAATAATTCAGAAATCGACATAGGTTTTCTTGTTTAGATACTGCTCTATTAACCCTTCTGCATTTATTAGATCAAAATAACCCGATTTTCATGAAAAATTCTTTAAGTACAGAGTTTGGTTATTTTAAATCAGCTGCGGCGCACAGTGTTTCGACTATATGGAGGCAGGTAGAAAAAAGTCATGGTGACACATTATTTACGATACATTTCCGGAAAAGAATTAGAGAATTCTATGTAGTTTTTGAATTTATAATTGGATCTTTTCGTGCAACTTTGCAAATATATGTAATTTTTTATTTCCTTAATTTTTCATTCTAGCTTCTTTTTGCACAATTTCACGAAACGAATTCTTCAAACAATGAAAAAATCTCACCAAACATTCGGAAAAAGCGAGTATTTACACTTATGTCATTTTATAGTATAACCTTTGTTTCCTGAGAGTAGAAAGCAGGAAACAAAAATTCCACAAATATAAATATAAATATATTTTTTGTATTTAGGATTTTTAAACAAAAGAAAGACTACAAACTAAATTTCATAAAGATCGGATGGAATTTAATGTTTTCGCCCACAAGGGTAGAGGGCTAGGAAATTATTCCATCTTTACCAAATTTCATAATTCTCCATTTCTAAGTAAACCTAGAGCATATGTTGAGCTTCAATGACATCAGTCCAGGTTTACTATTATTTCCACCTGCCTCCATTTGTCGAAACACTCTGCGGCATTGTCCATTCGTTAAAAGCAGAATCAGCTAATCAGCAAAAAATAAAAGAGTTTTTTAATTTTATTTTGTTTACTAGGCAGCATAGTTTTAACATAGACTCGCAGTGCTTCTAAGTCATTTTGACCCAAATTATTATTGAGTATTTAAGGGAAACTTTGAACCGGTAAGCACACAGCACTTGCCGATAAAATGTTTGCATGTTATAAATTAAAATAATTTCTTAAATCAGTCTTTTTTTCCTTACAATTGACAAATTTCTATTATTGGATCAAAATGACCCAAAACATTATAGGAAGGTGTAAATTCTAAACACTGCATCCCATTAGGGATGAGTTAAGATCTAGTTAAGATTAGTTGCGACCATTCAACGTCACATTATAACCCACACGAAACTACTTTCTTTAGATATTAGTCGCAAAATGTTGCAGAGCGGGAAAGCCTATCAATATTTTCTCATAATAAACTCACATACATTTTCTGGACGATCATTTTATTTGTAAGTAGAACTTATCTTCAAAAACTTCTTATTTCGAATTTTTTTACTTTTCTACTTACTGTCTATTTACATACATATTTATAATAGATTGGTGCTTACAAAAGGCGCACGCCATTATTTCTACTCTTGCGGATGCCTTTTGACTTCATAAACAAATAATATTTGATAGCCTTCGCTCTTTAACACAGCCAAAGGTGTCCGATTTTCGTGTAACTAAATGGCGTGTAAAATACTGCACTGCAACATATTTTACGCCTACTCTTTGCCACTAAAGTCGCATTTTACTTCTTACGACATTACATCAGCCAAGCACGACATTCCCTTCTACTTCACATTACGCTTCTGAAGAGAGTACACCGATAGTATTGCGGCAGCAGCTAAATCGTTTCTGAATTATACGACAGCAGTTTCAGCTCCAGCTTCAGCTTTTATTACTTCTGCCAAACTTCCAATATCTTTACATTTTACTATTGTAATTTTCAGCACTACACTTCTGGTTGTTCTTTGCAATACTTTAGCGTAGACTGTTGGCAAACAGAAAACAACGGTAACAGGCAATAGTGGTAATAGCATTTGTCGCACGGATATGGGGTGAATTGAATGAAATGTTACGTATACGCCACCTGTTCCACCCGAAAGTGGCTGCCAAATGGCAAAATGGGCTACGCTGCGTTGGCTGTTATTGCCTGGTTCGCTGCTTGTAGTTGATTTCGCTTGGTTGTATCTTATGAATTGCTCTTATTTGGATGTCTGGCGCGTACTTTAAATACGCACACAGCGCACCATTCACGGATACTGAAGGATATACATATTTGGGATGTGCTAATGAAATGAGGGTACGCAGCGAATTTTTTGGCAAACAAAAAGGGTGCAAAGTACTACATGCAACACAGGTTGCCAAACAGTCGTTGAAACTGCGAAAAAGCGCAGAAGAGTTGTATATGCGTTAAAAAGTAAAAAAAAGGAGCGCAAACACACAACGCCGGAGACGATACCAATGACGTGCGCGGAAGTGTGTATACACACAGAATACGAAAGTACTTGCTACTTCAAGAGCTGAACATGAAGCCAATTTGTTGTTTCAAGTTGTCCATGTGAAACGTGTTCCAGTTGTTGCAGTTGAACTGGGAGTTGCTGTGCAGCGGAAAATGCCGCAAATGAGCAAGTGTTTAAAAGGAAACACAAATTTACTTAGCGCGAACATACCTACGTGCACACATAAGTATGTACCTATGTATGTGCAGTTTTTAAGATAAAGCAAAGTGATATAAGTACATAGGTAACCGAAAATGTTTCTTGGAATTTTTAATTAACACAGCCGAGTGCGTTCGGAATGTGTTAAGCATGAGCTGTTTGCCAGCCATAATATCAATGCAAAATTCCTTTATATGTATTACCAAAAATTAGATAAATTACCGTCATGCTTTTGGAAAAAAATAAACGTATAAAATTTCGTAACAAATTAACTTATTTAGCCTTAAGATATAAGTGATGTGGTGGCGAAAAAATATGTAAGATTCGGATGTTTAATGTTCATTAAAAAGTAAAATAACATTAAAAAGTATTTATTTTCAGAGTTTATACACGCGAAACTTTAGAAAATTAGTAAGAAAATGTATTTATTTATGCAAGTCTCTGTATTCCGCTTAGTGAAAGCAAATCTAGTAATTTAGAGTACCATGAGCTCAGGACTCCTGCATTCAATTCATTTAAGTCTCTATTGACTGAAGATTCACCAGTTCTGTAAGTGACTGCACACTATGCTTAAATAAACATCTCTCTGGCCAGATAGTTATTTCGGTAGAACCGAGTATACTTTAGAACTTAATTCGTAAACTAGCAAATACCCGATCTGCTTCAATGCGCCTTGAAAGTATTTTTGTGTTGTTACTCCCACCCAAAATTCGTATGGCCTTATACAAAAAATAAAAAATAAAATAGATTTAAAGAGATTTACGAAGTGATATTTTCAAAAAAATGTGGGTGTTAGTTAATATATTTTCCAAGTTACTTAGAAAGTAGGCAAAAATTTCTTCAAAAGTTAACTAATTCAATATATACCTTCTCTTATCAAATTACCTAATTAAATTTTTCAAATATTTGATTTATTTTATAATTTAATTTAATACAATTTTTCAAGCATTTTCGGTATTCTCGATAATTAGCTATATAATAATCGATATTTTTATGAGTTTTGTTATCGATTTTTTATCGATTTGGATATCAATTTTATTATCGATTTTGTATGATGAGGAAACCGATAAAAGTAAAGATGAAGATAAAGGAAGAAAGATTAAAGAAGAAGTAGTTATAAAGAAAATGATATAGATAGACACAGACACTCAACCTTGGAACTATATTATAACAATCGATATGTTTATGGGATTTGTTATTGGTTTTTTATCGATTCGGATATGAATTTTATTATCGATTTTGTATTGATTTTGTTATCGACAAGGGTATCGATTTTATTATCGATATGTTTATCGATTTTTGGGACTTTTCGGGACTTATTCGGAATTTTCATGGCTTCTTCCCAAGAAGTTTTTAAAAATCCCAAAGTTGTCCTAGAAATTCCGAAGTACAAGATTCCGAAAATCCCGAAGAAGTCTCGAAAATCTCGAATTAGTCCCGAAAATCGCAAAGTAGTCTCGAATATTTTCAAAGTGTAGCGTTTTTGTTTATTTTATTTTTTTGAGTGTTGTGCCGATCAAGGTTAAAATCTGGATAATGTATTGTATTAATTTTTTTTTAACCAATCGACTACAGCCGCCCCCATCCTTATGATATCCGCCTAAATATTGTCGCCACAAATGCAAACATTGTTTTATGCCTTGTACCACTCTTTTATTGTGATGCTTTTCCGCAACTTTGCTTTCCTAACTTTACGCGAATTAAAAATGTTATGAATGCCCAAAGTACATGGGAAAAGGGGAGCGGTCGCAAATGTAAACAATTAACTCAAAAATAAATACAAAATAATTGCGTGTAGTACTTTTTTGTTTATCCCTTTTTTATTTGTTTTTGTTTTTGTTTGCTTGTGTTACTTCAGATATGCGTTCGTTAATTTAGATAATTCGCTTTGTAAGATTTTAGTTGTCTCTCTTTATTTCCATGTAATTTCACAAGCGCCGCATATTTAGCGGCGTAGCAGTAAGCTCGGGATGGTTTGCGTTTGCTCGTGTTATATGCTAAGCCCAAGCACTTTTACAAAATTTTTCGTTTTCTCATTTAAAAAAAAATAATTGCTTTATTGCCGCATACGCCATGGCGTCCTCAAATACCGCGAACAGTAGGGATTTAGATTGCACAATAAAAGCGCGGTTAAATGAATTGCCTAATTTGTTGGTATTAAAATATTTGCTCCTAAAGAGCAAAACACCTGGAAAAGGAAATAAACGTAATATAGAACTTTTGAAGTATACACATGGGCGCAAGGCATCAATTTTCATTGGGCTTAGGCACAGCAATAAGTACCTCTTTTCAAGCAATTCACAAATTTAAGGTGACTTAAGTAATTTTAACAAAGTATTTAAATAAGTCTTTACGCAGCGTCTGTTCGAAACCACCTCTCTGTGAAGTGACAGCACTCTAGCTTCTAATGCTTGACATTAGGCATATTTTCGCAAGCGACATCTTACACAATTTCGGCTCACTGCCTATCTAACAATCCTTTAGTAATAAAAGTGCGAGAAAACGGGAGAATAGCTTCAAAGTTGTAATTAATTGTGCTGCTGCTGAACTCGTTTTTAGTCCTATTTTATATCTGTAGCCGCTGTTGTTGCGTAGCACAAACACACATACATAAATTTGTTACAACTCAGTTGCCACTTAATAAAAATATTATAAATAAACAAAGAAAGCCTCGCTGACAAGCGGTTATAGATGTACTATGTACGAAGTACGTATGTATGCCGCTGGTATTTCATGAAAGAATTTCATTATACTTTAGCAGAACTTTTAAGTCACAGGTAACAGTGCTAAAATTGCTTATGTATATACAAGTTTTGAGTTATGCATTCATTATTTTCTTGTAGAAGAAGCAAAGTACAAATAGCCTAAGCAGCCAAACAACTTCACACGCGGTATTTATTAAACTCCGCTGAGAATATTTTGAAGATTTACATGTAATTAAAACTGTGACGCAATTTATTGGTAACCGAAAACGAGCGGGTTTCGTAGACATTTTATCAAATGTATACATCATCTGAAGGTAGGATTCCGCAGCAATTCGCACAAGTATTCAATAATTAATTTTAGTTTTACCGGAAAGCTGTAGTGGAATTCTGACTATCGAGACGATAAATCGCCAAAATTCTCTAAATGAAAAACATATGCCGTGTGTAATCTACTAAATAAGGCAGTATGAGGGGCAAGTAACTAGATGTTGTACTTCTTGGGTGCGCCTGTTATTCTTTTGGCTGTTTCTGGCGATCAAACTTTGCGATAGTGAAGGTTGAAATCCGGCTGCTGGTATAAGTTAGTTTGAATAATTTAAATTTTTTTATGAATTATTCTAAGACAACTCATGGCGATGCACAGTATTTCGACTATATGGAGGCAGTTGGAAAAGTCGTGGTGACAGTTGACTTAAAGAACTGGTTGGTCTTAGAGAGGGGAAAGTTAAAGTCATAAATCACAATCGCAATACCGACTAATCTGTTAAGTTACATTTGGCGCTGAACCCATTAGAGAGAATTAGAGAGTCTCGTCTATTTTTTTTTTACATAAAATTGGACCTTTTCGCAAGACTTTGCAAATATATGTCTGTGATTTTCGATTTTCTTAACTTTTAGAATTTCAGCTTTTTTGCGTGATTTGCCGAAAAGTATTTTTTGTACAATGAAAAATCACACCAAACTATGGGAGAAAAGAGAATATTTACACACAAGTAATTTTTAAGTATAACCTTTGTTTTTCTGGGAGTGAAAACCAGGAAACTTATGGCTGAAATTACTTTTTTCAACTGCGAAAACACGGTGAAAGGCTAAGAATTCGCTAAAAAGAGTATTTGGATGTCTCGTATGCAAAACTTGTTTACAATGTCAGTAATGTGAGATAAAAGAGAAGAGAGAATTGTATGTTGCAGGCAAAAGTCGTTCAATTATTCAAATTTGTTGTTAATAAACTGAAAGGTAATTTCGAGTTAACTAACAACACTCGACAGAAAAACGTCAGCCCCCTTTTCAAATAAATTATACTCCATCATATTATCGCAAATGATACATAACGACTCGGCGATATGCCCATAGAACGATTGCTCTTTTTGTTGCATTAATTTTTTGCGCACATAATTAAAGTTATGTAAAAACCTTAAAAAATCCTAAAGGATTTTGTTTGTGTAAAATAATATTACACAAACAAAACACATGGCTTAAAGATTACCGCACACCGAGTAGCCGAGTACCAAGCTTGGTGGAAAACCCCTAATACAAATTTGTATGCTCAAAATTGAAAATTCAGTACAAATCAGTACAAATTTTTAAAAATCAAGACATAAGCGCACTGATTCGAGAAGTGAAAAAAAAAATCGGTGCGAGAGTTGAAAAATCAGTAGTGTACTGTTAAAATCAATACATATGGAAGTGCCTACTGGATTTCAAATAAACCAGCTGTTAATTTACTTGGCAAAGTGAATTCGGAAAAATATGACCAACATTAATTCAGTTCAACGTAGCAGAGATTCAAAGGATGTTTGTATTTGTGAGCACGTGAACTTTGAATATACTGCGATGTTGATGTTTGAAAGAAAACCAGGCAAATAATTTTTACAGATAGGCAGGCAGGAAATGGTTTAAATCCCAACAGATATGTAGCAAATTGATTAATTACAGAAGAACAGAGAGGCAATCACGCAAAGAAGGCAGGTGCAGACTAAATGAGATATGTCGAACGGCGAAAAAGCATGAAATTGAGTCATATTTTTTAATTAAACGAATCGAAAAGACACAAACAAATTAAGTGAAACGTGTGCACTATAATTCTCTGCAATTCAAATTATTTACTAAAATGTTGCTTGTGTGAAAGTGCATATGGATATTGTATACATTCTTCCTTTGCAATTTCAGATATACCCGTGGTCAGCCTGGAACTTGGCACCAATGCAATGAATTCAACCTTTCGCGAGGGCATCGACGTTTTCTTCGAGTGCAATATTAAATCGAATCCCTGGGTGTACAGAGTCAGTTGGCGACACAATGTAAGTATGCAAATTCATACACACAGAGAAAAACTTATGTAAAATTAACTTAAATTCGGATATAGCACAACTTATATCTTAGGCTAAATTACCCTACTAAGTTTTTTTGTTATCGTAACCAAAATAACTTAGAAAAATATTTGTAGGCCTTCTTCCTGGAAAATTTAACAAAGTACTGTATATCTTACCTAAATCGGCTAAGCTAATCCCTGCGAAAGCTCCTTGGTAATTTGGAAAATTTTCTTGGTCATTTCACACCGTACAACTTTGGCAGATTGCAATAGCTGTCTTGTTTTTTTTTATCCTATACAACCTTGGTAATATTTAAACAAATCACTTTGGTTATTTGCGAAATTTTTCCCTGAAATATGTCGGTAATGTGTGAATAGGAACAACTTAGATTTCTGCCAACCATACTTTTTATACCGGACAAATATAAGGGACAAAAATAATACATAAAAGGAGCGGTGTTTTTGTCATTTAAATTGTGATATAAAAGTGTTGTTGACGAAAATCCGAATTGTTCCTATTAACAGGATTATCGGCGCTTTTTACTATTTCGATACTTAGCAACAACTTACGGCCATCTCGCACACAACCTTATCAATGATTTTATTTTAGCATCTTCCAGTTTTTAATAACAATATTTTAAATTACTTCCGTATCGTTTGTCATACATACAAAGTATATAGTTAAATAAACATGTATTCATACATTCGATTGGATATTTTAGGTTTAGCATAAACACTAACTGAAAACAAATAAAATAAAATATAAAAAAAAAACTTAATATATCACGCTTTTATAAATGGACTAAAAATTTGATAAGTTTTGATTCTGAAATTTTAGCAAAAGTCACTATAAACAATTTATGAGATTGAAAATGAAAAGTGTGGGGCGCATGTAATAGACTTGAATTGATATGAAAAGTAATATATTTATATATGTGGGTACATGAGTATCGACCGCTTAAAATCCATTTCAAATTTGTACTTTCAAATGACCCAAAAAACGCCGAGATACGTTAATTAAATTTTGGATCCTAGATTATGGATCTGTATACCATTTTTCTATATCAGATCATTTTCCCAAGATAGTTTAATTTGTATGAAAAAAGCTATGTTTAGCAAGGAAAAAATTAAAAAGATAACAAATCTTTTGAAATTTTTTTATGTGTTAAAACCTGTTATTTTGCCTAAAAATCCAGTTACTAAGGACGAAAAGCGATGAATAAATAAATAAGTTTTGAATGGTGAAATGAAAATATGCATCAAGTTTTTGTATGTAATAGGTACTCATACATGGCGTATGAGTAACATTTTCTATGGTAAAGACTTTTTTTCATTCGCAATGCAAACTTAAAATGAAAATATCTTGGAAAAATCACTTGATCCAGAAGAGCGGAATACAGATCTGTTTGGCCCAATATTAAGTTTACGAGTCTCTGCGCTTTTTTCTGTAATTTTAGCATTCCTAAAGTGTAATAGGCAATCCAACCGAAAATTTTTTTTTATTGTAGCGAAATAAAAAGTAATCCAAACTAAGCCAAGTAAGATTTCAAATATGTATGTATGTATTTCTGTATTTTTTAATTAAATTCATAATTTCCGTCGTCGTGCATATCTCCATTATCGTCATCACTGATACTCCAGTCCGATTGACCATTCAAAACTAATTTATTTATCAATCGATTCCATTAGTTAGTAGCTTGATTTTTTGGCAAAAGAACAGGTTTTAACACATATAAAAATATTTCAAAAGATTTGTTATCTTTTTAATTTTTTCCTTGCTAAACATAAATTTTTTCATAAAAACTAAACTATATTGGAAAAACGGTAAACGGATCCATAATCTGGGGTCCAAAATAAAATTTACGTGTCTCGGCGTTTTTTTGCGTCATTTGAAAATTTAAAATTGTCCCTAGAGTGTTATAAAATTAAGTTTTCCCTCCTATAGTAAACAATAAATTTTTAAAACAATATCGAAATTTTAATGAAATTAAAATTTAAGAAACTTCATAAGTTAACTTATTAGATTTTTATTTTATTGACATGAACATTTTATTCTTACGTTTATATTTCTAAACAACTTTGCAAAAACAGGCTTTGTGGCATAGCAAATAGCCATTGGCATTTGTAAGAAATTAGAATTCAGCTTGTAAAGACCGTCGACTCCGATAAGTAATTAACAAACGTATACATTTTATCAGTTTTTTCATGCTCGCACCTACGGCTTTTAATGTATATGGCAAGATGAAAGAACCATCGAAATGGTCTGGCAAGTGAGGACACATCTTTTGATAGTTCACCAAGTGACATATATAAAAATCAGATTTCATACTATGACGAAAGTATAACTACAATTTATCATGGTCTAAGGGTGTCTGGCAAGGGCTAGGAACAGTGCTAATGGTCTGGAAATGAAAGACGTAGTTTCTAATATTATTACGAATAAAATATATACAAATCTACCTTTATAATATAACGATTTTGAAGTGCTCTTTTATGCAACTTTACTACCCGGTAACTGCCAAAGCCACCACCATCCAAATTTCAGAGTCTGGGTTCGTTATTACCTGTGTTGGGGGCATACATGGAGAAGCTTCCAGCCTTTACAAAATAACGAAGGTGTGGTCGTCGCGGGCTCTTGGGCTATTATAAACAATTTGTGAGATTGAAAACGAAAAACGTGGAGCGCATGCAGTACAAAACATTAGATATAAATGACAGTAGCCAAACTACATAACACAGACCTTAAATTTCTACAGAAAAAGTACAAGTTTGAGATCGATTTTAAGCGGTCGTTATTCATGTATCCACATATATATCAGCATATATTACCCTTCATATCATTTCAGGTCTATTAAATGCGCCCCCGCTTTCCATTTTCAATCTCATAAATTGTTTATAATGTCTTTTGCTAAAATTTCAGAATCAAAAGTTATCAAAACAAATTCTATGGGACTGAGCTATATGTATTATTTTTAGTCCATTTATAAAAGCGCAGTATATTAACAAGTTTTTTTTTGTATTTTATTTATTTTCTATTTTAATCTTGTCTGTATAAAATTTTCCAATAGATATTAAAATAATTCAACTTTGAGAGAAAATAGAATAGAAGACTATGCAAGCAAAATGTTGTTTGCTCACGTTTAGTATATACATACATATGTACAATAGAGTGGTTCAAAAACACTTAATTCGGAGTAGTAATGCTCTTGCCCCTAGTTTTTTTTACATATAGAAGAAAAAGTATACCCCAATCTTTTTATTTTGAAATAAAAAAATATTTCGAGGTCGTTCAAAGCGCTCAAAGTTTTCCATGTACATATTTTTATATGGGAAAAATAAATTTTTTCGATCGGAAAACCCTGGTTCCCTTCAGGACACTTTCAATAATAATACCCAGTTGTTTATTTAACTATTTTTTAATACTAACGATTTTTTATTGGTCGCCCCATAACATTTTTCGGGGTTTTTGGCGGACCTATAAATTATAGTTGCAATGAAAAAATGGTTAAATAAAAATTGGGTATTATTGTTGGGAATCTCCTGCAAATAAGCAGAGTTTTCTGGTAGAAAAATATTGATTTTTAACTTTTTTATACCATTTTACGAAAAGTTGTTTTTCCCACCTCTAAATATTTTTTGATTTTAAAATAAACAAGTAAGAAAGTCTAAGTTCGGGTGGAGCCGAACATTAAATATCCGGCGCAAGTATTAAATATATGTTTTCCACCTTTCCGAAAGTTACCGCTACATGATAAGCCGGGGTGTATCAATTTTGAGTAAATTAGTGTCCTTAAATTTCGAAATATTGCAGTTTCAAGCATTTCTGAAATTTACCGTTATATGAAAAGCGGCCGTAATTTTAGTCCAATTTCAATAAATTTCAACGTTTTGCTTTTATGTGGCAAGCACAATAAAAGTACCGAGTTTGGTACAAATTGGTAGAAAGGTTACCGATATGCATATATGTGATCATAAGTGGGCGGTGGCACGCCCGTTTTCCAAAATTTTACTATAAACGTATCTCTTGGTAAAGAATTGTTGCAAGCATCAATTTTGAATAAATTGGCTTTAATATTTAATGATTTATCGAAGATTTTGTATTTCTCCAAATTACCGTTATATGGGTTGTGGGCGTGGATATTGTCCGATTTTAAAAATGTTCGGCCATTTCATATGTTATACCAAGGCCACGAACTGTGCCAAGTTTGGAAGAAATTGGTGCAGCGGTAAACACATGTAACCATAAGTGGGCGTGGCTACGCCCATTTTCCAAAAACTTATAATATCCTTGTTTTTCGTCTGAAAATTATTGTAAATATCAATTTTGAGTGAATTATCTTCAGTAGTTACTAAAATATCGCAGTTTTCGTATTTCTGGAAATTACCGTTATATGGGAAGTGGGCGTGGTTACAGACCGATTTCGCCCATTTTCAACACCAACCTACCTTGGATTAACGGAAACCTACTTACCAAATTTCGTTGAGATATCTCAATTTTTGCTCGAGTTATCGTGTACACGGACGGACGGACAGACGGACGGACAGACAGACATGGCTTAATCTATTTCTCTATTCATTCTGAGAATTTATGTATAAATTTGTCTATATCTATCTCGATTCGTTTTGGTTGTGACATTCAACCGTTATGTGAACAAAATTAATATACCCTTGTGCACAAGTGCGCTCGGGTATAAAAAAGAAGGGTATATTCTTTTGGTATGGAACAATCCTAGGGGGTGAGAGCTTAAAAATTACGACTTTAAATTTTCACATGAATTTTTGGACCACCCTGATGTACATCCATACATATAGCAGCAATTAATTTCATTTAAAGAAATGGCGTGTCGTCCATTTCCGCTCTAGCGTATGTCGTGGATATTTTTAGGCGCAATATTTAATTTCTTCTGGTGGGGTGACATCTACCTCTAGGGTTTTTCTAATTGTATGTCTTTGATATGATACCTACGACTAGGTTGATATCTGGATTAG